TATCAAAGGCCTTCTCCAAATCCACAAAACACATATACAGTTTCTTCCTTTTTGCACGATATTCCTCTTGCATCCTCCTCAGTATAAACACTGCATCAATTGTTCCTTTCCATGGCATAAAACCAAACTGCATCTCATCCACTTCCACTAATTTCCGGATTCTATTCACTATCACCCTCTCCACAATTTTCATTGCATGCTCTAATAGTTTCACACCCCTATACGCACCACAACTCTTTGCATCCCTTTTTCCTTTAAAAATTGGTACTACCACACTCACCTCCCACTCCTCAGGCATTCCTCTTCCATCTAACACTCTCTGGCATAGTGTTAAATCAATTTTGAATTTCAGTATTTATCAAATTTGAAAAAAAGACATGCAAGTTACCTCTTGCGTAAACCACTTGTACAGCTCTTCATTGGTATCTAACATAAGTCCTTGTTTTTGTGCTCCTTCTTTACACTGTGTCATTAATGTTGTATACTCATCTCCTTCAAATAAACCAGGAACCTGAAACAAAATTAAAATTTAGAAAGGACTCCTGAGTACTGTGATGTGCAGACTGAATAAACATTACACATGTGCCCAAATGTGCAACTCATCAATGACATGCATAGTTGGTTGAATTACCAAATCTATAACTACTATGCATTACCTAGTCCCTTTAAGTTAAAGTTTAAGAAATATATTAAGTTTGAACACGAACATGCAGAATTTGGTCAAAACCTAAAAAAAAAAAACTGAAAACTAGAAAACTGCTCGATTTTGGTCAATTTTTTAACAGTAAAATGGCCAATTCGATATATCATGCTTTGTTGTGGACAAGTATTGTAATATGATGTACATAACGCTAATATACTTTACTCACCTCTCCATTTGCAAGTAGTGTATTCATACGCTCCAAGAAACCAGAATCCAACACATTAGATTCATCCATAATGAAAGCAATCTTTTCAACCTGATAATAAACCATGAATGAGTGATTAGGTTGGAGTTATCTATACGATAATTAGCCACATATTCAATATCTTGAATATGAAATTAAACTATTGATTAATCACTTTTTTACTGTTATAAAAATAAAATAGTGTTTAATACTAGACCTACCCTACAGCCTGCTCTTCTCAGAACAGAACGCAAGTCTTCATCAAAATCAGCTGCTGTATATTTACGATGTACCTGTTAATAAAACAATCTAAATGTAGTAACAGACATAAAATAAACAAACATTTAGAATGCAATAGAGATCATGTACTTACCTTAATTTGATAGACACTCAGTCCATTGATCCAAGCAACAAATCTGGACAAAGTAGTTTTACCAGCACCACTCATACCAATCAACAGCAAATGACCCTATCAATGAAAACAAATTCAGACTTCAATTCAGTTAGAACACAACGTGCAACAAGCAGCCTGTCGGCTGAGATAGCTCCGCTGTTAGCAATGCACATGGCAATTAAAGAACAGAAGATATCATTAGAAAATGAACAAATTTGAGAGAGGTCCACATGTAGTACCTATATGTATAATATATCAAAGCAATTGGACTTGCGGTTTTCAACAAGAAGTCAAAAATATCACTTTTTACCAAAAATTACAAAAATATTCATCAAAATTAGAGAATTAAAGATATCATCATGAAATGAACAAATCTGAGAGAGATCCACATGTAGTACCTATATATGTAATATA